CATACAAACACACCTACATACAAACATACCTGCACACAAACATACAAACACACCTACATACAAACACACCTACATACAAACATACAAACAAGCATGCTAGGGTTCAATAGCATCAAATGCTGGCAACAAGCTGTATTAAGATGTTTATCTCAGGCTTGCCACTGCACAATACAACCACTAAACAGTTTTATGACTTTTGTAATGTATGTGCCTATGTGTGTGTGTATGTGCGTATGTATGTATATATATATATATATAAGTGTGTGTGTGTATGTGTGTTTGTATGGATGTGCGTATGTAACTGTTTTTTCATAAAATTTATATTTATTTTTATATATTAAGTGTGAATGCTTAAAGTTTTAGATATTTTGTATGAATGTTTTATATGTATATTATGTTTTGTATGTATATTTTGTATGTATGTTGTGTTGGTATGTTTTTTATATTTGTGCTCCGTTCAAATGCGAACTAGATACGAGCCGAATATTCAGCCCGGTCGGTCGAACTTTCGGCTTAAAATTAGACGTTTAGATTCACAGACAATGATTGTTGATTTTATAATTGGCGAAAAATATATTTAGGCCATCATAGCAGTTAAAACATCTAAATTTGAACAAGTGATAGAATATTATCTCGATTAAAATTTGTCGGATAGACATGAGTCTGTAATAGCTTGTTTTTCATTCTAAAAGATGACTTTTATTTCCAAAATTTTGGATTTTTTGTACAATTTAGCTTTCGACTTGGATCGGCAATTTGGTCATATCCACAATTCTGTGCACCTCAAATACGAACCATAATTATATATTTTTTGATCATTCCAATCGTTGTATAGTTTTGTATTTGAGATTTATTTCTATATTTGTTTGTACTTGTGGGTATTTTTGAGTATTTTGGTATATTTTGCTATTTTGACAAAGTGGAAATAAAATTTTATTGTTGAATATTTTATGGGAAGCAAAAATTTTTTTTTAAAATGAGCGCTTTAAAAATTTATGGGCTTATTTAATGCTGTCGTCTGAGAAAGGACCGGAAAATGTTTTAATGTGACGTCGTCTTCGTTGTTGCTGCTGTTGTTGTTGCTGCTGCTGCTGTTGCTGCTGTTGTTGCTGCTGCTGTTGCTGCTGTTGTTGTTGTTGCTGTTGCTGTTGTTGTTGTTGTTGTTGTTGCTTGCTGAAGATGAAGACGATGATGAAGATGATGATGTTGTTGATGTCATGATGGTATGTTGTTGTCGATGATGATGAATAAGGTTGAAAAGATGACGATAACCAATTTATGCCAGTTACTTTTTTGGCTTGCATTCAAAAAGCATTTTTTCCAATATGTAAACTTACACACACACAACACACACACATATACACACACATACAAACACATACATAAACACACAAAAACACTGCTTATAATTGTATATTTCCCGCCATAAACAACAAACTGTCTCGATAATGATGTCCAAACATCAATCAAAAAAATCTATACACCAAATTATGATGTAACAAACAAATATGGTTTACACTACGTCACTCTATCACGTGACGAACAAAAACATAAACATGGCCTGATAAACAAAAACATAAACATGGTATTAATGATATAATTTACCTACTCCACGTATCATATGCATTATTCAATCACATGTGATGAATGTTTATAGCACGTGAACAAATGAAGTCATGTTACTTGCGAATTTGTGTGTGTGTATGTATGTATGTATGTATGTATGTATGTATGTATGTATGTATGTATGTATGTATGTATGTATGTATGTATGTATGTATGTATGTATGTATGTATGTATGTATGTATGTATGTATGTATGTATGTATGTATGTATGTATGTATGTATGTATGTATGTATGTATGTATGTATGTATGTATGTATGTATGTATGTATGTATGTATGTATGTATGTATGTATGTGTATATATATGGAAAGCCATTGGACACAACTGATTAATGATTTGCAAATAAAGAAGTTACATGAGGCGTTGAAGGGAAGCACATTTATTAAATGGTAAGATAGCGCTAGATAAATAAGAAAATAATAATAATAATAATAATAACAAAAACAATAATAAACAAAAATAACAACAATAACAACAGTAATATCAGCAACAATATTAACAACAGTGCAATCAATTGAACGTGCTACAAACAAACAAAAATAACCCACACGCATACAAACAAATACATTATAAACAAAAATCAGAGAGTAATAGACAAACACATACATACGCACATAAATAAACACACACACGCCACACAACCACATACACACGCACACGTACACATACACATAGGCAAAAGCATACATACATTTTTCTAGGGGGAACATTTCGACGGTACATTTTTTGAAAAAAAAGGTGATCAAAGAAAAATGAAGAATGTAATAGTGCTGGCAAAGCCATTATGGAAATAGTTTTAATAATAATAATAATAATAAATAATAATAATAAATAATAATAATAATAATAATTTAGTATTGGATTGTTAAATAGATGCATTGTAGATGCTTAGCATCGTGATGCTTTCACGACTGATACATTTTCAACGTTGCCAATCATCATTCCTTTATCTGTCTATCTTTCTTTCTTTCTTTCATTCCGGTTACTCATTCATTCATTTATTTGTTTATTTATTTGTTTATTCATTCATTCATTTACTCATTCATTCACTCATTCATTCACTCATTCGTTTATCCATGAGGATAAACAGAGCCATGACACATTTGACATTCATATCCGTTTATTTTCATCTTTTCAATCTTTCCATTCCACCATTATCATTTTTC